GACAGCCCCCAACCATGGACGGTTGAGCCCTTCACTGACATTCATCTCTGGATTGTTGTCCTCAGCTAAAATCATGACCAGACTGACCCAAGGTCAGTCCTCCCGTGATAGCACTGCACACTCTGTGTGGTGCATTTGACTGGGGGCCCAGGATCCCTCAGTTTTTCTTTCTCTTTTTTTCTTTTCCTTTCTTTTTCTCTCACCATAAAAGGCTGCTCGAAGCAGCCTCTGGCCTCTCTGGCTTCTGAGTTGCCCCAACCGAATCCAGTCAGGCTGTAGCACCCCATCTGGGGGCAGAGGACACCCTCCCACAGGTCTTGCGTGTTCATGCCGATTCACACCTGGCCTATAGGAGTAGACGTCCCATTATAGGTCTTGTGGTATCGCCGTTTTCACGGGTTTTCATGATTTCAGCTATGGGTAACAAGCCATCCATGTCTGTCTCCCCCCTGGGATGGATGCCTTTTAGAGGCCCTAAAACCCCAGGCCTTAGTGCCCCACCTCTTCAGCTCCTACCCTCACTCAGATGGTGTCCCGCCAGCTCCACTTTTATGGGAGCTTTCTGACCACTGTCAGTGGGAGCTTTCTAACTACTTTCAGCACACAGACAAATGGACCCTGCCACGGTTATTACTGCCAACAAGATTGGTTGGATCCATGAAGCGGCTGTTTGTAGTTCCAGCCTTTTGCTCCCTGCTGTGGCTTGTGGCATGGAAGCTCAGTGTCAGTGTGGATCACACCTCTAGGTCTCTCTTGTTATTAAACTTGTGACCACTGTCATTTTGACTGAGGTCAGGTGACCTTAGTGACTTCACTGCCATCTTAACTGGGTGGCTTTTCCATACAACATGTGACCACTGCCATTTTGACTGAGGTCATGTGATCTTACCACCATCTTAACTGAGGTCAGGTGACTTCACCACCATCTTAACTGAGAGCCAGGTCAGGTAACCAAGTCCTGCCATCTTTACTGAGGTATACCCTGCCTGGTACCCCAGTTTACGTATGTTTTTGTCTCTAAATTCCTCCGTTGACTCTGTTGCATGTGTGTTTTGTGCAGTGGCATGTCTTTGGTAGGGCCCACCAAGAACATCCACTTTACCCAGTTCCTGTTCACTATGTGTGTGTGTTCATACATGTAACTTATATGCACCTATGTTTACTGTTAAATGTTATAATTGTTCATTGCATCTCATTTCAGACTACAAAAACAGTAAGTTTCATGTTTTTTAAACTGGAATGTACATTTAAGTCCCTTACAAAAATACTTTATGTTTAATCCAACCCTCATTTAAAATATATTAAGATGCTCTCTACTATTGTCAGTTTTGCCGTAAACCTTCTGTTACAAGCAGCCTTTTCTTCTTTCTGTCTTTTTTACAAGTGTAAATCTTACCTGTTAAGAGCCAGTAGAGTCAAGCTCAGACCCAGCTCTCCAGGCAGATTCTGTACTGATAAAATAAGCAGCCCTCAACTGCTCAGAGATCTGGGAAATGTGGCATTTAAATATTTATATCAAAAATCTTTTCATAACAAAAAGAGACAGGTTGACTCCTAGCAGCAGCACTCTATTTCCTCCAAAGAAGAAAGAAGACAAATGGGCACAAAACAAGGTCCATCTGCAATTTGCTTCAACTGCCAAGTGCTGACCACTAGGCAAAACTGCCTTTCATCTAAACTGCAGATCTCCAGACATGGACAGAATTGCTGGAATCGACAACCTAACTGCTCAGGTCAAGCAGATTTCTTAGCCCACAGGATCTTTTGGAGCATGGCAGGCCCTGTACTAAACAGCAAAAGGCAAACATGACCTTCAGCGACCATGGAGGACCCAGAGGAGTAGCTCTAGGGGCCAACCAAGTAAGTTCTCTGTTGTTTTTAATCAATGACTCAAGTAAAATTTCATCCATCTAAAAGATCTCTCATGTAGTTTGACATCCGAGAGGTTTTGTCAGTTTAAAAGGACAACCTCAGCAAACAAATTTCAGTAAATTACAAATACAAGACCTGCAAGTTATAAAGGTGTGAGGACAAATGCATGCTATCAAATTCTCTCTCACACTGCCTTCCATAGTCTTAAAAATACTTTTCATTATGCAAAAAATATCTGTCACAGTCATTCTGATATAAATATTCTACTGTTTATACACTGTATATGTCTAAAACTTCTGTTTTCACAAACCTAATGAATTCTTGTGAGTTCCAGGGAGCCAAATTGAAGGATCCACCTTAAATAGGTCAGATACACCTCCTCAATTCCCTGGTCCTAAATTTTTTTTCCTAAACTTAACTTTGTCCTCTGTTCTACCAATACCTTAAACAGGTGTAAGAGACACCAGGCATTTCCATACCACAAACACCAGACAGGAGCAAAGAGACCAGCTATGCCAGGATGTGGCCAGCACCCAGCTTTCTCAGGTTCTGGTATGGAACAATGATCTGTATTCCATCAATTATATTTTAAATAAATGCTGATTGGCCAGTAGCCAGGCAGGAAGTATAGGTGGGACAACCAGACAGGAAGTAGAGGCGGGTCAATGAGAACAGGAGAAGATGGGAAGAAGGAAGTCCTAGTCTGCAGTTGTGACCCAGCCACAGAAGAATAAGGTGCTGAGCCACATGGCTAACATAGAAAAGAATAATGGGCTAATATAAGTTATAAGAGTTGTAACACCTGCATCTGCATTATTCTCTTGGGACAGTTCATGCGCCACTGTACTGTATGCGAGCCAGGCAAGGGCCTGGAGGTTGAAAGAACACACAAGAGACCTGTGTCATTCAAAAGGAGATCAGCCGAAGGCCATTTATTCAAATTTAGGGAAAACCTTAAATACCTAGCTGATGCACAATGGAATACCCCCCAGGCAGGTGGGAAATTACCAAGCCCAAGGTGGAGTCAACAATGCCCTATAGCTAATCACCAGGTGGGGCAGAGAGAGCACAGGAACAAACTGGATGTTTTAGCTGGCTGGCCAGAAACTGTCCTCAAGATGAACCCCAGGAGCAGGGGTAGACCCATGGGCCCTACGAGAGTTAATAAGAAGTCTGAGCTACTAGACTAATCAGTTTATATCAAATGCAGACCTCTGTGTGATTCTTTGGGACTTAACAACTGAGGAAACTAGGCAGGACAGGAAGCTCCAGACAACAAGGTTTCCCCCAAAGATGACACCAACAAATAAGCAGGAAGCAGTTTCAAGAATCCACTGCCCCGCCTTTAATCCCAGCACTTGGGAGGCAGAGGCAGGCGGATCTCTGGGAGTTCGAGACCAGCCTGGTCTACAAGAGCTAGTTCCAGGACAGGCTCCAAAACCACAGAGAAACCCTGTCTCGAAAAACCAAAAA